CGTGGCCAAGTGACCATGCACTGAAATTATGAGCCAAAACAAACATTTCTTCTTTTAAGTTGTTTATCTTAGGTGTTTTATCACAGTGATGGAAAACTAACTATATATCTATATACCCTTAATGACAATTGATGGTTTAATAGATTTATAACAATGGCAGGTCTGTGTAACTTATCTTTAAAATAATCATGTCTAATAGTGCCTGTAATAAATTAAATACTCAATAAAGGTTTATTTGCAGAAGTTATGTGTAATAAAATATTTATATACATTTTGTATATATTATTGTACAGTAAAAGAATGGGGAGTCATTAAGTCAGTTCTGTTTGTATTCTTCATTTCACATTCTGAAAGTTTTACTTTGAATAAGTCATTTCACCAGTTCCAAAATAATCTGCAAAATTTATACTTAAATCTTTCACATTCCATCTCTTAGGAGACATCAATAGTAAGTTAGTATGAATGAGACAGCTTTGATTTTACTTGTACTCTTTGAGAAAAATTAAAAATTAAGTTTGTTTTGAGTGTATGATTCAAAAAATATATATCAAATTATGTCTCTATATGCTACAAGGATAAACACTTATTAAATAAAATTGAAATTTCTGAAAGGGTACATGTTTCATCTTTAGCCATTGGTCTTCTATGCATGTTCAAATAATCAAATGAAAAATTGCATTGATTAAATTCTAAATTCTACATAAAAATGTCCCATCCTTTGTTCTTCCTTAAAATTTGAACCATGAATAATTTGCATTTAAATACCTTTTTAGATTTGGTTCCTTACCAGTCTCAATAACCATTTGGATGATCACTGAAAGATAAAAATCTCAGCAAATTGTGCATATGTTGCTTACAATCTTGCCTAATTACTTTGAATCTGCAATTAAAAATTCAAAATGAAAATAAAAAATCCCAAATCCATAGAAATAAAAATCATAGCAAAAATTATATTTATGCCCATTTTAGGATTTAGCATACATTTTACTTTGAATGACTAATTTATTTTCTTGAATGAGACACCTGTCTTCATAACATTCTGCATAAACAGATTTTAAGAAAATCTAGCCTATTGGCCTTGTGAAATTCACAATTTGGTGACTATTTCTTGCCCATTCACACTTTACTCATCCACTCACTACCAAAAGAAACAAGGTTAGGTCAGAAAAGGTAGTAAACTTCAGAATCAACTTGATAAGATTAGTTAGAGTTTAGAAAATTGAATTTTTTAAATAAAAAGATTATTTAAAAATATTCCATTCATATAAGCTGGTCTCATTATGTCTATTTGATGTAAGTCCAATCATACCTGCTCAGGTGTTAAATCTACTGCTCCTCTTCCTGGGTGGATAGAAAAGTGGGCCACAGATCCAGTCAGGAATATGTCTAGGACATTTTGAGAATTTATATTTTTACTGAATGGTCATTAGGAGAGCTAGGTTTTATAATTTTTGCTACAAAGGCATATTTTTGAAACTTTAAAATTAATTTCTCTAAGGACCAATAAATAATCACTACATGTATTAAACATTTAAATATAGCAATACAGAATCAATTTTATACATATTAAACACTATAACTTAGTGTTTAGCTAGTTTGATTATCAATATTTCCTAACCAGAGACTTGTTATTAGACCTTCTTTTGTATGCTTGTTTAGCCTAAGAACTAAAGGAGTACACATTATTATTAGCTTCTTTGAGCTTTTTTATTACTCGAGTCCCAAAGAACTGCTCCATTTGAGCCTGGTGCCCTCTTCCTCTGGTCCTATGTCCTTCCACCCTTCCTCAAATTTCTTCCTTTCAGCTAGTGTCCTGACTTATGGGTTCAGTGCTTTCTGCCTCTGGAATCAGCTTCCACATTCCACTTGAACTATACTGCTTTGTTCTATTTGTGATTTAAGTCAGGTTGGCATGGCTTGAAGGCTATTTAATAATCTCTCTGGAAACTTGACCTTAAAGTAAAAAGAAAAAAAAAATCTAAAACCTTATTTTTCTTGCACAGTGAAACCAAAAGGACTTTCCCCCAGGAATCCACAGGAATCCAAATAAACTCACTCTTTTTTTTTTCTTCTCTTATTTTAATTTCCCTGGAGCCCCCCCCCCCCCCAAATCACCACTTCAATCAACCTTGCCTGGGCCACTGAAATCATATACTGAACTTCATGTTGACTCTGATAGCCCAAACTCCACAGTACTTATCTTATAAGAAGCTGCTTGGCCTTCTCTTCACTCAACACAATCTCTGAGATGTGAATTTGGTGAAAGGAAAAATTTAAAAGTCCTCTCTCACTCCCTGTTGGAATTTATATAAAAAAAGACATAACTGGGCAAGTATACTGGAAATATACATGAGAACATTTATTGCAGTTTTGTCTATAATAAAGATAACTAGTGAGAATATATGTATCCAGTTTAGGCTTAGCAACCATTAAAGGAATCAAATATTTACTAAAGGAAATGAAAAGGTGACTGTGAAATATTAAGTGGAAAATGTAGGGTAGTTAAAAATATTGAGATTTCATACCAATAAGCTGATGATGGTTATTCTGGGTAATACAATTTTAGATCTACATTGTCCAGAATTTACTGTTGTTTAATGGCTATTCAGTTTTATATAGAAATTAATTAAGATTAAATAAAATTTCAGATTCAGTCCTTACTTGCACTGGTCATATTAAGTACCCCAAAGCCATATGTGTCTGGTGGCTACAGTGTTGGAAAGCACAGATAGGGAGCATTTCCCTCACTGAGAAAGCTATATTGGACAGTATTTTTTAAGATAATGGTATGTTTCTAGTTTGCTCTTGATTTTTGGTCTCCTTTAGCTTTTTGTAATGGTTGAAACTACTTATATCTGGGGGAAGTTTCTTTGCTCTCAAAATGAATTTAGACTGAAGGAAAACCATATCATGATCTACTATAGTATCTAATAATTATGCATCATAATTGATCCTCTCTACCAAAGTTGTTGAACTTTTTCTTTTTTAATGAAGTGCTTCCCTGAAATTTACTCACTCTAGCTATTTAAAATCTTGGAATTATTCAGTTATTCAAAATATTCTTTACTGAAGTCTCATTGGGAACAACAGTTCAACCAGAAATAGGAAGAAAATTACTTACTTGATGCTATAGTTTGTATCTCAAATGTGCTCTCAAAGTCTCATGTGGTAGAGCCTTAGTTTCCAGCTTCGCACTACTGGGAAATGAAAGAAATTTGAAGAGGTGGGGCCTAGAGGGAGATCTTCTGGTCATTGGGGGCATGTCCTTGAAAAGGAACTAGAGACACTTCCATCACAGGCCCAAAAGCAAAAAGGCCAATAGATCATGGATTGGAACCTCCAAAATTGTGAGTCAGAATAAATCTTCTCACTTCATATGAAAAGCTGACACATTTGGCAACTAATTTTTGGCTGTATTCATTTTATATTTCTGTACTGTAAAGAGTGGTCAATGGCAAAGGAAATAGTAGTAAAGCCCATGTTTTAGGTATTTTAGGAGATTAACCAAACTTTAAAAACTAATACCAGAGGCTAAAATATTGGAGGCCCATTGGCTAGACTACAGATTTTGTTTTTATTTCTTTCATCCCTCTATCTACAGTGGTCTCCTACTCATCTGAGATCTTTATTTTCTGCAAATTTTAGTAACCCATCCATTAAATGGAAAATCCAGGAAATAAAACTATTTATGTTTTATTTATTTTTTTCTGTTTTGTTTTTAGACAGGGTTTGTTGTTTTTGCCCAGACTGGCCCCAAACTTGTAATTCTCCTGCTTCAGCCTCCTGAGTATCTGGAATTGCAGATGTGTGCCCCATGCTCAGCTAATTCATGTATTTTATATTGCATGTCATTCTGAGCAACATGAACTCTTGAATTGTCATGCTTAGCCTATTTGGCAGGGGACCCAACCCTTTGTCCAGTGAACCTGTGATGTACACCAATTCTTAATCACTTGGTAGCCATCTCAGTTACCAGACTGATTGTTGGAGCATCACAGGGCTTATTTTCAAGTAACCCATTTTTTTTTTTTACTTAATAATGACCACAAAGTAATAGTGGCATGACAACTCAGAGATCTCAAAGAGAAGCTCCAAAGTGCTTCCTTTAAGTGACACTTCACATATTTTGTGCAATCGGTGTTAGAGAAATTAATTGAATCCTCTAAAGCAATTACTCTACAAGACAATACTCATCTGCTTTCTGGATATTTGCTTTTGTGGTTGTTGTTGTTTCAACCCACTGCTGCTCTTCAAAAGTTATGACTTATTGGTCATAGTTTATTCTTCCCCCATGCAAATATCAAGAAGCATGGAACTTCTTGCATAATACACTTATGTAAACAAGGAATATTTCCATAAGGTAAAAAATATTAAATCTATTAAAATACTTTAAGTGGTACCATGTAGAACATCTTGGATATTTCCAGTTCTCTTTATTTTTGTTTCTTGGTAGTTGAAAAAGCCCAAGCTGCTTTGTTTTATAAACAACTCCTTACTACTATGGGCATAACATTAGTTGAAGATTTATTTCAGATTGCACTGTGTAAAGATTTCTTACAAATGCAATATGATTAGGGTGTTGGAAAACCCTCAGAGGATTGAAAACCCTATCCTTCTGAGGGGAGGCTTTAGTTAGTATTTTGGAGAATATTATCTCTAATAGAAATCAAAGCATTTTTTAAATATTTCAGAAAAACTCCAAGCAAACTGATATGGTCATCCTCATTTTAGAAGAGAAAAACAAACAAACAAACAAATAGAACCCCAAATCCTGAGGCAGAGTACTAAGTGATTTATGCAAAACCCCAGCACAGGATGGTTGAGGAAAGAGTGTTCTGCAGTTGCAAGCTTTTGGTTTCCAAACTTGGTAGGCTCTGATGCTACTTCCAGCTGCCAGCATGATGCCCCCCCTAAAACTGAACAAGGGAAAGAGGCTGGCTGTAAACTTCGGAGTCTGAGGGAAGAATCTCAAGAAAACAGATCTTGCAGCTTTGTTGATTTCCTGTCCTGTCTATACTGTTTCGCTCCTACGCACAAACTCAGTCCTGTCAGCTTTAGCTGAGCACTTGGAAACCAGACATAGGCTCACATCTCATCGTGGCTCCAGTGGCTTGGGTCTGAAAGGAGTCAAGAGGAAAGGATCCGGAAATCAGCTAACTAGAGAAAGATACTGATTTTTATTTGAGATCAACTGCTTTTCTTTCTTTTCCTGTTCCAGCTTTTGCAGAGCGCACCTTCCAAGCTTTCAATCTGAATCTGCGCTACTCAACTTTGAAACTGTCCGCAGACACCTGTTAAGGGAATTGCGGATCCTGGGCAGCAAGGATCTGAACTTGGCTGGAGCGCAGCGACCACCCAGTTATAGGAACGCCAGCGCCTTGCTTTCAAGCCATGGGCGAGCGTGCGGAGGATTTGTCCTCGGTGCAATCGAACTGCGCTTTTCCCCGGTTGTGCACCGGCACAGCTCTCAACTTTTGCTCCTACACGCGAAAATAGGAAGCAACCCCTATTAGGGAGTCGTGGGATTTTCTCAGCTCCGCAAGGGTGCGAAGACTGTCTCTCCCGCTCGCCTCCCTCCTGCCCGCTGTCTCTGCTCGCCCTCCGCGCAGGGGACCACAGCTCCCTGGGCTGCAGCTGAGTGTCTCCGCCACGCCTTTGCCTTTGCTTTTTCCCTGCGAATTTGGTGAGTCCGGGCTCCAGACCAGTTTACGTCCTCTTGGAGCCATCTCTAGCGGAATTGGGGGCGGAGAGTAAAAGGAGGGGTTCGTGGAAGTGAAAGAAGGTAGGCGTGGTGCAAACGCCCAGATGATCAAACTTGGGGGTGTTCAGGGGAGTAAGAGTGGCAGCTGCAGGTAATAGTAGGACCTGCGATGGGGCGCCTCGCTGAGTAAGGTTGGCAGCTGCGTTGCGCGGTCTCCCTAGACCAGGACGCATCCAAGAAAAAGCGAACCTCGCCCCCAGTTCCCTGGCCACGGAAACTTCCTATCCAGCTCGCTCCGCTGCAGGGCGATCTCTCCTCAGCCTCCGAACCTGTTTCTTTTTCTTCAAGGGAGCGGTTCGTCTCTCCCGCCCCCAATCCTACCTCCACCCCCTCCCCCCGCCGCCCCATCCTCTACGCCCACCCGAGACTGTGCAGCGCAGTGCGGTGCCCAAGCGCCCACGGCGGAGACAGCAGCCAGGCTTCAGGGAGCTCCAGCTACTCCCGCTGCTCGCCCGCGCAGTCCACTGCCCAGGACCGTCGGAGCAAACACAACTGGGTCAGCTTTGGGGGCCTCCCAGGGTCCTCTCCGGATAATCATCGGACTGACTGGCTGCGCACTTCTTGTTTTACAGTCTCAGCAGAAACGCGAGGGCCAGGTCAGTAAGTCCTACCTCTGATTCCCCTTCTGGGAACTTGAACATTGGCAAAGAAGCCTAGGGTCCTATGAAATAGGCACTGGGGTGGTGTTTCCAAGCGTAATCCCCCACTTCCCAGCCACATTTAGGTGGGTAGTGGGGATGGGGGAGTTTATGCCGTTCTCCTTTTCTCCTTGTGCTAGAATTTTCCTTTCCTGAAGATTCTTGACTTTCCTTGTGCCTTCTTAGAGATAGGCAGGTTGTTCCTGTTTATCTTCTCTTTAAAAATCAAACGCCTGCCTAAAGTGCAAGACCATATTGGATTCTCCAAAGCTGATCAAGAATACGTTTATTTAAGCATTCACTCATTTTTTTTTCTTTTTTAAAAAAAACCAGGGCTCACTCACCAGTAGGAACATATGGTGAAGGGAAAGGAGGTGAGATGAAAAGCTTTAAAGATGTTTCTCAATAGGAACATATCATTTAAAAACCTAGGGACAACATGAAAGAGAAAACGCTGACTTCAAGAAAAGGTCAGGAGCTCAAACACGTGAAAGAGACACAATCCCAGATTCATTGGTTAATATACTTAATGTTGTACTTAGGCACACAATCGTGTCTTGCATGTATCATTCTGGAAAGTTTCTTCTCTCCACATCCCAGGATTAACAAGTAAAGGCAACCTAAGGTGTGGGGCATGATTTCTGAGATTTTTCCCTAAGAAAAGATTACTGTAAGATGCTGTGCTTGGTAAAATGATAGGCTTCACTAAGGCCAACCTGGGACGGTAATGTTTCAGAAAGAACTGTTGAAAAATCCCATAGATATGAAGTATGTAATTAAAAAGAAGGCTTACAGGGCTGGGGTTGTGGCTCAGTGGTAGAGCACTTGCCTAGCATGTGTGAGGCATTGAGTTCGATTCTCAGCACCACATATAAATAAATAAATACATAAAGGTCTATCAACAACTAAAAATTTTTTTTTTTTAAAGAAGGCTCTCAGACTCATTATTAAGTTGCTTTGAATCTCAGGGGGAGACACAAAGGAAAAAAGAAAGAAAGAAAGAAACCCAAACCTCAAACCTCATTTCCTATTTTACAAAGAAATGTTTTAATAACAAAATAACTAAACATTCACTTGTTCAAGAAAACTGCCATTCACAAGTTCTCCTTAAATTTCTTGAATACTGTGAATGCCTTATTTTGCCTTATTTCAAGAAAATATTTCTTCTTTGTCTGCTTTTCTTGTAATTTTTGTACATTTTGAGTTTCTATGGGCAACTTCCTTTGTGTACTTTCTTTTCCTCTTCTACTTTTCCAGAAGTGCTACTGAGAAGTGACAGATTTTCTGCTCTGGGTAATGTTTTGAACTGGCTGAAAGCCAGTAGTGTGCTTGCAAGCATCTAATCATGTCCATATGCTAATAGCTTATAGATCAATAACCATTCCTGCAGAGAAGGTGTAAATAAGAGGGCTTTGAAATAAATAAAATAAGACTGAAAAGAAAGAGCAAACTAAGTCAATGAATCAAATACACCCCCCCCCCCTTCCTAATGTCCTTCGATTTCATGCTTACTCTCAATTTAGTCTGCTAAAATCTCCAAACTGAATTCTTGAGTCTCATTAATTCTGTTAATGAGTTGTCTGGATTGACTAATTGTGTTCTGTAGAGTCAGTTCTTACTCTAAAGGAAATGGTAGAACCTATCAAATGCATGCTCCATGAGCTGAATATCTTGTTTCCATTCTTTCTATTTACTAGAGAAGGGAAGCAAAGGGGAAAGAAAACCTGGTCTACTTGGAACATTCTGTTTGAAATTTATGCAGAGGGAACTAGAATAAGTCAATATAGCAAATACACAAGTTCATGGAAACTCCTTAGTACTCCTCTGGGTAGTAAGGGCACTATGAAGGGGGATGGCCTAAAATAAACAGGAGAGAGAGGAGAGAGGAGACAAAGAGAGAGAGAGAGAACCCAAGAGAAATGAAGAGAGAGACACACACACATATTAGAGAAGTTTCTTTGTGGTGTATACTGACAATTTAAATGATTACAATCAAGAGTTGACCTAGAGGTTCTTTGGATAATTTTCACATAGAAGCAGTTATCTGATTAAATAGAACAAAACAGGCATAAGAATGACATGTCGTGGCAAGAAGTCCTGTATAGTTAATTATCTATAGGAAAGGATCAAAATTACACTTTTTAATTAAATAGCTGATGTTGATTATTAGTAAAATTGTGCTTTCCTTTAGTTTCATATTTGTTTTGCCAGATTATTGAGTGTCTTGAGTGTCTTGGATGGTGCTCAGGATTAAATAACGAATGAAAAAGACCTAGCTTCTTCTGCCTGTGAAAAGCTTGCTGTGGTGGGGTGAACAAAAGAGAATGATCACAGGGTGGCCTGTGCAGCCTTAGAAGTGTTGGGATAACTGAGAGGCTTCCTGTTATGACACAGACAGCAGAGGGAGGTCCGAGAGAGCCCAAGTGATGCTGGAATTGGGAGCAGTTCATTGTGACAGAGTATACATTGGGATGTGGAGATGAGGCCAGAGGAGTAGGCAAGGAGGGCATCAAGATGTGAATGTCATACTGAGGATTGGATTCCCCTGCATAGGCCAGTGTTATCATTATGTGTGGGTGCAGACCCTTTAGTGGGAGAGAAAATTAAAGTAGGCATGCTATCAGCAGACCATACAAAACCAAATCTCTTTCAAAATGTGAAAGAGAAAGAATCGAATGCAGATAAGTGGTTACACAGGTGATGGAAGCCAGATAGGGGATGTTGGGGCTACTCAGGGATTAGCAACAGCAGGGGATCATCACCACTCCCTGGCTGGAGAGACATGCAGAGAGGCAGTGTGGCAGAGGCCAGGAACCAGGACCATCCACTGCAAGCAGGATCACAGAGGGTTTGTATTATAGATGTCAGAGCCAAGGAGCTGGTGCAGAGGTGCAGCTCAGAACAGAGAGGCAGAGGAAAGGAGGCAGAGGCTTCCTCCTTCCTCCTGCTGCTAATTACCTGCCAGTTCCTCCTATTAACTTTCCAGAGCCAGAATCCCAGACTCCTGATGAATGGGGACCCTGCAAATGTCTCTGTGAGACTCAATCCTCTTGTAGTGTGGAATAGAACAGAGTAGGAAACGGTGAGAGATGCAGCTGAGGCACACAGGTGAAGACATTTTTAACTTTAGGTGATTTCATTAATGCGAAGACCATAGACTGGAGTAGGTCACACAGAAGGGAAATAAACAGGGACTGGGAGGTGGCAAAAGGGAAGGAAAAGTGCTAAAACGTTTTATTTAGGGGTTTTAGGGGGATGGAGCTCAGACTTGAGCATACTTCTCAGGTAGTATCTGTGCAGGATTCTACTGTGTTACATGGGAAAATTATTTGTCAACCAGTACACTAGAAAAAATGGTTATGAAGCCAAATCCCATCATTGTGCCTTATTTTCTGTTCCCACAATTCAGGGAATCAGGGTTGGGTTTTCATATTTGTCCCTTCCTTATACATTTTTTTGCTGTATATTGAAAAATTTCAAACAGTGAAAGTAGTGAAAGAAACTTTACTTTCTTTTCTTTAAAATTAATTGGGTGAATTTGTAGCAGCTATAACATCAGTCAAGTTCATAATGTTCATCCCACTGAAAATGAATGGGATCCATTAGGTAGCATCCATACTGGAACTTTTTCTCACTATAGAAAAATACTATATTCCCATCCTTGGATAGATTTTTTAGGACCTGATTTAATTGATCCATTTTCTTTTTTGCATAGACTTAATAAAAGACCTGCTTTATCAAGATGCTATACTAGATGCGATTTTAGAAATAAGAAGGACAGGATATATTGAGCCTCAGACAAATTGAAACAGTCCCTTTAGGATATATTTTACAATACCTTTGCAATTTCCATGTTTCATATTTTTTCTGTTTTTCTTTTTCTCCCTTAATTGTAGATCTAGTTGCAGGCCAAGCGCAACAGTGCTAAAAATGGGACCAGTGGGTGCCGAGTCTGATGAGAATCAGACAGTGGAAGAAACCAAGGTGGAGCAGTATGGGGCAGGGCACACCACTCCGAGAGGTGAGCTGGCCCCTGACCCTGAGCCAGAGCTCATAGACAGCACCAAGCTGGTTGAGGTACGTGTTGTCCTCATACTGGCCTACTGCTCCATCATCTTGCTTGGGGTAGTTGGCAACTCTTTGGTGATCCACGTGGTGATCAAATTCAAGAGCATGCGTACAGTAACCAATTTTTTTATTGCCAACCTGGCCGTGGCGGATCTTTTGGTGAACACCTTGTGCCTACCATTCACTCTTACCTATACCTTAATGGGGGAGTGGAAAATGGGTCCTGTCCTGTGCCACCTGGTGCCATATGCCCAGGGCCTGGCAGTTCAAGTGTCCACCATCACCTTGACTGTAATTGCCCTTGACAGACATCGGTGCATCGTTTACCACCTAGAGAGCAAGATCTCCAAGCAAATCAGCTTCCTGATTATTGGCTTGGCTTGGGGCATCAGTGCCCTCCTGGCAAGTCCTCTGGCCATCTTCCGGGAGTACTCACTGATTGAAATTATTCCAGACTTTGAGATTGTGGCCTGTACTGAGAAATGGCCTGGTGAAGAGAAGAGCATGTATGGCACTATCTATAGTCTTTCCACTTTGTTGATTCTGTATGTTTTGCCTCTGGGCATCATATCTTTTTCCTATACTCGTATTTGGAGTAAACTCAAGAACCATGTCAGCCCTGGAGCTGCAAATGACCACTACCACCAGCGAAGGCAGAAAACCACCAAGATGCTCGTGTGTGTGGTGGTGGTGTTTGCTGTCAGCTGGCTGCCCCTCCACGCCTTCCAACTTGCTGTTGACATCGACCACCATGTGCTGGACCTGAAGGAGTACAAACTCATCTTCACGGTCTTCCACATCATCGCCATGTGCTCCACCTTTGCCAACCCTCTTCTCTATGGCTGGATGAACAGCAACTACAGGAAGGCTTTCCTCTCAGCCTTCCGCTGTGAGCAGAGGTTGGATGCCATTCACTCAGAGGTGTCTGTGACACTCAAATCTAAAAAGAACCTGGAAGTCAAAAAGCACAATGGCCCCAGTGACTCTTTATCTGAGGCTACCAATGTCTAAGGAAACAGGTGTGAAGACTTAGGGATGAATTCTGACCAGAGCTATCAACCTGATTAAGGAAGGCTCACAGGTATGTCCTAGTCTCCCATTTTAAGGACAGAAAAGCATCTTAATGGAAGTATTAGCCGCATAATTCCTGAAAAACTGATAGGGAGAGCCTTGGTGAATTTACTCGTATTCAAAGGTAGGAACAACAAAATGGTTTCATTACCGCTGCTCAGAGGGTAGATTGAATAGAGTCAAAACAGGGAGAAATGCTTTTGACTCATCTCCCAGATAGAAGGCAAAGTGAACAAGAAATTGACATTATCAGCATTGCTAAAAGGTGGGAGTAAAATAAGTGAACTTTCAAGTCACATCAGGACAAGCACTAGGGGTTCTGTTCTGTGTCCTCCCTGCTTCCTCCTCATCTGATGAAAAGTTTCTGAACACGAATTTCTCTAGGGAGCCATAGATGCTCCTTTATGGTGTTTGGTTTTATTGTCCTTCTCATATGTGAAATCCAGAAGAGAATGCTATAGGAAAATGTTGCTAACTGAATGACTTCAAGATGGTTTCAAGGGCATAAACTGAAATTTGCTAGACAATTAATATGTTAAGGAAAATTCTTAGTACTCAGTGAGCAATTGCTCATACAAGCAAATGCACTTTTTGTGAATTATTTTTCAACTCAGAATCAAAGGCTGATATTCTCAGAATTATAAAAAATATGAACCATTATTGAATTTCTCATATCAAGTTTTTCCTGCTTTTGTATAGATACTATTACATAATCAGTAAATAGCTTAATTCTTTTAATTATTGCTAATTGTTGTAACTTTCGGAACCTGTATGATCTCTGTGATGATTCCTGTGTTGGAACAAATTTGCACTAAAATTAAATCAGATTAGAATATAATTTTTACAACATTTTGCAACATATGACTATTTGTAAGCAACTTTTGCAGAGGCACATACATGTTTACAGAACACTGAAGTATTATTTTCTTTGGAATTCATTTTCCATGGACCCATTCATGATTAAAATATATATAACTTCGATAAAATTGACTCATCTGGTAAGAAAAACTAAAAGCACTTGATTCATTACACCTTGCAAATGTTTTGTTTCCACCAATTTCTTTCTTTTTTTCCTCAAAATAACTATATATTTATTGGATATATGAATATATACATAATAAAATGTACCAATAAATAATGGAACATAGATCCTAAGTTTTTACTTAATGATTTTATTAATATAATTTTTATTTTAAAGTACCTAACCAAAGATAATTAAAACACTCTATGTTCATAAAAAAAGAAGACAGATTTTAAAAATAGTCGCACTTCTCTGGATGCTGTTAAAGAAGTTTCATTGTAGTTATATTTTTGTAAATATGATGGAATTTGTGAGCATATTCCTTACATTTCAGACAAATTCAACATGAGTATTCAGTTGTAACACTAATTTTATGAGCTGGAGAGTTTCATTTTATGAATATACTTAAAATTTATACTACGAATCTTATTAAATTCCTTCTATGCTGGAAATAAAAGATTGGTCCTGAAATGAACTATACTTTTGGAATACTGAAAAAGAATTAAATCAGTAGAAGTAAGACTAGATCAAAGATTAAGAAATTAACAAAAATAATATATATCTGTATTATATCATATAATTGAATAACTCATTTTTTCTGTTGGATTTAGCAAAACTATCTAAGGAGAAGCTTTTTGTCTTTTTCATAGCTGTTACATTGCTTAAGATGTTAATAGAAGATTGTAGTTAAGGATTTTATTTCCCTTGGAGAGTTCTTACACTGAAAGAAATTTATATGCTTTGATGAGTAAACTGTTAGAATTCAGTTAATGAACTGATTAACATATGTCTGATTCAATTAACTATGTCAATTCATTAATAAAATATCTTTTATGTAGTGATTTTAATGTTGAAATAAAAGGAATTTGGGAAATTAAAGAACTTGTATGGAATTAAAGAACTTGTATGGAGTCTAGCTGTCCTGCTATCTGTACTTGAACTTGGGTCAATGGATCCACTCCTGTGACTGAAATTGTAATCTATGTTCTGAGAATGCCTGAATCTTTGTTTTCAGACAAGATGTTTCTTTTGCATTTCCAACCTGTGTCTCTACTGAGTAATGAAATGTGTGCATGGGCCTCACCAGCAGATAAAACCCAACCTATGTCAAAAGGACCTGACATTTTAGGGCACCCATCTCAACTTCACCCTGTCCCAGTCATGACTGCTACACACCAGTTCCTAAAGCTTTGAACTTTGTGGTCACCCTTGACTCGTCTGTGCCTTCATCTCACATATCCAATTAACTGCTGTGTTTTGTTCTAATTCCTAAATGTTTCTTGAAACATTTCACTTTTCTTCATCCCTGTCTTCCAGGCTACCATTGTTTCTCAGACCCTTGTTATTGCAAATTTAGATGATATATTTTCTTACTAATTGATGCCTCTATACCTTGTCATCTTTTCATACAATCAACTTTGATCTACTAAACAAGTAATTTTTCAAAACTCTATTTTCTGTCTCTCTGTCCCTCCCTCCCACCCCCCTCTCTCTTTTCTTTTTTGTAATACCAGGAATTGAACCAGCAACCTCAGTAATGACCTGCATTTCCAGCTGCTTTTATTCATTTATTTTTGGACAGGGTCTTGATAAATCACTGAGGCTTGCCTTGAACTTGAAATCATCCTCCTGTATTATTGTGATTATTGGTAAGTGCCATCATAACAGGTAAAACTCAGCTTTTATCAAACCATTTTTAATTAAGATTTTTATATATCTTCTCATAATTCTTATAATGAACTCAAAATAGTTTTATGACCTGAGAAGCTGCATAGCTCCTGATTATGCCCATGTATCAGGGCAAATTCTCTTTTCTTCCAATCTTTGTTGCTAGATTTTAAGCATCATGAAAACAGGGGATAGAGACTATCTTAACCCTTCTGGAATCACAGGCACTTACAGTTCCTGTCACCAAGTACTCAATAAATATCTATCAAGAAAACTGAGTTTCTGAAGTAGATATTAAAGCCAAGATAGATTCACAAGGTTGTGACCATATGTATCCCTTTTTATCATGTATCTTCTCAGAAAGTAAGGTTTCAACTGTACAAAATCCAGAAAACATCTTTATTTGATCAGGATCATCCATTATTTGATTATTTTTTATTTCATTTTCTCCCTTTTTAAGACCATTAAAAGTAGACATTTGCATACACAGAAAGGACTTTACACATAGATTTCATTTCTAGGTCACTCAAAATTATCTAGAACTTTGTCACCTGGGGAAAATAGAGGAATCAGCAAAGTTTTCTAGTCATGATTCAGGAGTAGAGAAGACATCGTAGGTATTTGTAGACTAAAGTGACTTAATACAGAAGATTAAAGGCATAAAAACTTTGGAGGAGCTGGAGAAATAAAGGTTAGGAAACCTGTAAACCATGGACAATGTCAACAGCACTAAAGGGCATGACGCACAGGAAGAGGAACAGTTACAACTGTCATAATCATACCCTCTTCTACCAGGCCCACACTGCTGCCCACTACCACCATAGACTCTATAATGGCTTGTGCTTCTCTTCTGCTTTCCACTATTCATGTAGTATTCCCCTTTGGGGGAATAGAACTCAAGGCTTTCCTGGTTGCAATTTAGGGAAAATATTAATTCTTAGGTTTTCAATTCCTAAGATACAGGGACATCATGGAAGACAAAATATAGTGTCCAGTTACAATCTGGCCATCTGGCAATCTTGAGGGCTGGCTGCATGGTGTAATTAATTTGTGAACTCAATCTCATCCTCTCTAATGCCTTTTTCAGAGTTGCAGTGTTGCAAGTTGACTCTTTTTTTTTTTTGCCTTTTTCTCTTGTCATGGTCAATGTTAATAGTCAAGGTACTCTTTAAATTGCCCCATTAAAAAGCAGACTGAGGTGTAACTTATAAGTCAAAGTCACACTTGGTTCTCATGGAAGGTTAATTGGAATAGAGCAAGAAAAGATGAATCCTGTTGAGTTACATCAAGATTTGAACAATGTGGTTTAAAAGCCACAGGATTAAAATCTAAATTTGGGTTTACTTCCTAGGAAATGGTGATGTCTCAGGAAGAAAACAGTAGCAAAAGATAAAAAAGCACTTTTCTTTAAGAAATCAGAGCACTTAATACAAAGATAGTGGAAAATGTGAACAACCTTGTAATTTTATTTCATGACATTAAACAGAAGTAAAAATTTTATTAAACAAGTGGTTCCTAAAGATTGACTTGTGAGGCTTTATAAATGAAACTTGACAGACTATTGACCTTTTTGTGTCTCAATACATTGGAAAGATACCCAGACTCCATATGCTTTCTTGGGTGCCGAAGAGGTTACAGAAAGAATGGCCTGCAGGTTAAGACAATTCGCTACATGTCATCTGTAATTCAGTTTTTTTTTACACTTCAAGAATATGTAACTGAATGGAAGTATGTGAAAATTAAAATTACTACGTTATCTTGACAAGAAATAAAGGAATACAACAAGTCAATAATTATTTTTTATTTACATTTCCCCTTCTCATAGAAAGTAACAAAAATTATTTTAAAAAAATCACACACACACACACACACACACACCAAATATATGTAACCATCCAACATCACATTGTATATAGCATCTGTTGGGAGGAAAAAAAAAGCTATTTTCTTACTGTAAGGTCATGCAGGCTCCAGGGGGCACCTGTTGTGAGATCTTTTCTATTCTCAGGTATAAGTAAGCCACAATCTTGTTTTGAGACTGCAATCAAGGAGCAAGAAACAAGGTGATTCAAGCGACATACTTGGGGTTGGGACTGCTGAATATTAAGTTGGAGCCAAATAACATCAGTCAAAATAGTCTACAATGATATCTGGTTACCATCAGACTTGACCATATGTAGAGTTATAATAACAGGATCTAGAGGAACAGAGAATATGTATTTTTATATTTATTGAAGTAATAAGAAAGGTTTGACACTGAGAGACTGTTTCTGCCATTTGTTCCAGGAAAAATAATTTACTGGAAATAAAAACTTCCTACTACCAAAGACAGCCACATTTGAACAATTACCTCATAGTTTTTGTCAAAGGTACATAAAGTCTCACAAATGGACAGATAGAGTGTACTTAACAACTCATAACCTCAAAAGCTACACAGGAGTTATACAAATCTGGTTTGTCTCCAAAATAAGGATTTTATATTTACTTCCTGGTGTTTAGTTTAAAGTCTGAAATTGGATGTAGGTTTTCCTTACTTATGAGAACCCTCACAAGAATTATTTGCAATTGTCGTTATCTTCCAAGACAACCTGAGATAGATAAGTATTAAGCTGTTTTTTTTAAAATATGGGCTCCCAATAAGCTATGTTTTTAATGAGTGTAATTAGGAAATAGGAGTGTTCTGATGGGGTAATATTTTTATATAAAACTTAGTTAAGCATATACCTGAAGCAATTTTGCTACCAATGCTATTAATTTGAACTGATAGAATTACTATTTGCTATAGTTCGTATGTGTCTCCTCCAAATCCAGGAGTTGAAATGTAACAGTCCGTATGATAGTATGAAAGGGTGGACCATGAAGAGGTGACTAGGTCCTGAGGGCTTCTCATGAATGGGACTAGAACCCTTATAAAAGAGGCTTCAGTTAGCCTTCACACTCATCATTTGCCTCTTTTGTGGCTTTCCTCCTCCATTGTGTGAGGATACTATGCTCTACCCCTCCAAAGGATATACCAACAAAACACAGAGAACACCCTCCATCAGGTAATCAGACTTGTTGGTACCTTGATCTTGGACATTCCACCCTCGAGAACTGTAAGCAATAAATTTCTGTTTTTTGTAAAATAACCCAGTCTTAGGTATTTTGATAAAGCAATACCAAGATTAAGATTCTTATTAAATGCACTTTGGCCACCTGTATTACTCTTAAGGATACTGCATGCCTGTGCAACAGAATCATGTACTCTGCACAGAAAACTGATCGCTTTAAATTTACCTATGGTAATAAACATCAGAGCAGTGGTTTGCTACTGGGATACATGGAGAGCAACTCAAAAGTAGACATGATGAAAATAGTCCCTGTCATGATTAAGGTAAACAATCCCATATGTCTGGGATTTCAACAATGCTGCAGAAACTCAGGGAATCTTCCAGTGAGTAGGTGTCCATTTGACCTACCTAATAGGGGCAAACTATAAAATACCGAGGGTTTTTTGAACCGTTTCCTCAAGACAGTTTTCTACAGTTCTCCATCCACTCTTTTCTTTCCTCCTTTGCATACCCCGCCCCTCTCCCCAACAGAACTTTCTCTATTCTTTAATTTCATACAAATGAATATAAACTATTGTTTTGTCTCTGGCATTTTTATACAATATAACCATTTGGAGATTCCGCCATGCTGTTGTGTGTGTTACTAATTTGTTCTTTTTCAAATTCCTGGGTCATTTTAAGTTATATGAGAATACCACAATTTATGCATTTTCTTCTTCATAGATATTTGGGTTGTTACAAGTGTTTGGCTATTCTGATTAAATTGGTTATGAAGATTCTTTTCTCAGGTCTTTCTTATTGTGGAATTAGATTTTCATGTTCCTTAATGATAGGTAGCAGACAGACACAAGCAGAGAAAGCATGAGGTCAGGGGATAATTCTATGGACGGGGCCTACTTTGCTGACCCCCCCCCCCACATGCTTTCTTTTAAAAGAAATTTACCTAAGTCCATACTTGGCCTTCCCTGGCTTTAATCAATAGGATAGACTACATTCTTCAGCCAATAACCTTTATCTGCAGAAAAAAATGTAGGCCCAAAGATTCCTCCCAGCTCATAGAAGAATATAAGTTACCCTGAAGGGGCACTTGTGTGACCTTTACACAGACCTGATTCCAGGA